AGACCGGGCTGGTCTCGAACTCACAGCGATCCACCTGCCTCTGCCTCCTGAGGGCTGGGATTAAAGGCGAGGGCCACCACCACCCGGCCCATGTTCATTTTCTACTGCAGTGTGACCAGCTGCCCCAGAATTGGCATCTTGCAGCAGCACTGGTGCACAGCACTGTAGTCTCCGAGGTTGGGTTCTCTGCTTGAGGTCTCACTAGGCTAAAACCAGTGTGAATGAACCTCTGATCTTTTCTGAGATATGAAGCCCTCCCTCTGGGCCAGCAGAATTCACTTTCATGTAGCTGCAGGATAATAGTCCCTCTTTTCTGGCTGCCTGGCCGCTGGGACACATTCTGGCTTTGAGGCCACACTCAGGTGCTGGCCACATGGCTCTTTCCTGAGCCATTGAGAAGGCACTGAATTCCTCAAAACCACATACCAGGCCTCCACTGTGTCTCTTTCCTCTTTAGACCCTTGCCCCCTCCTTTAAAAGGTTCCTCTGATGGGCCAGAGCTACCCAGGACAAACTCCCTTTCAAACTATATGCTAGTTTAAACCAATTTCTCACTTGGAGATCCTACTCATGTCTACAAAATCTCTCTTCACTGCCCATGCTGCCTACACTCCAAGGGAGGAAGCTGTTCAGATCCTGGAGGCCAGGCAGCCTTGAAACACCACAGACCACCCTGACTGACTGGAACCCTCCAGCTACTCTCCCCAGATTTTTCCCCTTTCAAACAGAGTAACCGGCCTCTCTCAAAGGAGTGACTATATTATAAAGGAACACCTGTGCTCCCCTCTGCCTATCAGGCTGTGGGAAGGATAGACGACATGAAATTAGAATTTCCCCAGGGATCTCCTGCTGGGAGAAGGAGGCCCAATACTCAGAGGAAAAGCTAACCTCCTGGAAAAAACCATTTAGAACTTGCCAGCCGGCCTTAACAGAGAGACTCAGAGCAGAGGCAATGGTGGGCAGGACCATGGCCTGGCTGGATTGCTTAGTTATGCATAACTCAAAGATGGACTTGGGGATACCTGGATCTTTTTGTCCCACTTCTAAATGTGCCCACATTGAATAAATGTCCCTTTTCTGCTTTCAATATTAATTTGGCTCTTTTAAGTTGGCTTATGGAGGACTGGCAGCTGACCCTAAGTCCAGTAGCACCAACGTCCTCATGAGGTGGTTTCACTAATTACTTGTAAGTGGGGAAAAAAAACCTGTGAATTATGTATAAGCCCTGAGCAATGCACCACAGTACCCCGGGCTTCAAGTTCAAGTTCATGTTTGGAACCCAGAAATGCTAGAATCACCCTTGCCTATTAGGGAATGCGATAAAAGACAATGAGCAGACACTAGGGAAATGCTTCTGGAAACTCAAGTTCCACAGATGGGCAGGTGTCTCATCTGCCTGTGAATTGTCCTTCTGATGAGCAAGGCTGTTTACACTTCACAGGGGTAGGGAGGACAGCTGAGGTCAGCAGTCAGCAGAGGTGCCCTGTGATGCTCATCACCTCATTTAGGGGTTCCCCCTGGAGGAGGTAATGTACACACCAGTGCCCCGCCCCCCCAAAAAGACCAATATTCTAGAACTATGGGTTTTTTTTATAGATCTATAATTAGACTTTAAATCCTGAGTGCAGGGAAACGCTGCGGTTCAGGCTGCAGTACTTGAATGCTGAGGAGTGGGGGAAGGGAGGGGGCTCCTACAAGCCATTGTTGCACTTGGGAAGCATTAAATTGTAACAATGTGCTTCAGCTTCTGGGCCCTCTCACCAGCAATAAAGCAGAATTTCTTTGTAACAGATAATAAAAAATAGCAATCTAGGTTTACCTAGACAAATAGAAATCCTGGCTAATTAACTGCCGAGCCATTTCTCCAGGGAGCAAATATTCTAGTGGCTTCTGTGTGTCACTGTCAAATATGTAAGTCATTGAAGGGGCCTGCTTTATGTGATTTGCAACTATCTCAGACGAGCCAAAGAGAATATGAGATTAAAAGATGAATCATGTTTTCCTCCCCTCATTAATATTCCAGAGGGCAAAGTCAACTCACGCCCCTCCCCATCTACTTCTACCAAATGGTAATGAGGCCCGACAGGGAAACTCGGGGGGACACCTAAGAGAAAGGTGCCCCCACCCTAGGATTTGCTTTGTGCTTCTTGCTGGCTGTCAGTGAACAAGCTTCAACATTACTGATAAAATTGAAATTGTCTAGAGAGGCTGTTCTTTCCAAAAGGCATCTAAAACAAGGAGGCTAGAAAGGTCACATAAGCCAAGCTGACTCAGACCCAGACGTTCAAGACCCTGACTTTTGCCTCCTCAGCATAAGCATAATCCTTAAACTCAAATCAGGTCCTTCATAACCCGCCTCAAAGTTTCATTCACAGAAGGAAATCCTTTAAGAGAAATAAGGAAATCAGCTCATACACTAAAAGACCAATTGGAACGTCACTTTCCTTGTAAACTTTGCTTACTCCTTTTTCTGGGTATAAATTACGTCCTGTGAGAGAGGGAACCTCCCAAGAGTCCAATCACACATAGCCTTTGTTGAGGCACTTGGGGGTGCCTCTCTCTTGAGAAGCTCACAGCTATGCCTTAGGAGTACACTGCAGTTTTCCTATGTAATTTTCTTTTTAAATGTTCCCCTATGTATCTAGCCTCATCTCTCTGCTCAATAGACTGGTACCTCTGTCACTCTGACATGACCTGGAATTCTTTTCTGTGTTGTTGGCGAGGACCAGGCTTGACCACCATAGGCAACAATAATAATTAATCAAGGCAATAAACACATGCTAAGACTTAGCTAGAGAGAGACAGGCAGCTGACATGTAGCCATTGTTCATGAGGACCCAACTCATCCATCACACTTGTCTTAGGGTTTTTATTGCTGTGGATGAAACGCCATGAGCCAAAAGCAAGTTGGGAGGAACGGGTTTATTTATTGTACCCTTCCACAGAACTATTAATCACTGAAAGGAGTCAGGGCAGAAACTCAAACAGGACAGGAAGCTGGAGGCGGGAGCTGATGCAGAGGTCATGAAGGAGTGTCGCTTATTGGTTTGTTCCTCACTGCTTGCTCAGCCTGCCTTCCTATAGAACCCAGGACCATCAGTGCAGGAATGGCACCACCCACCATGGGCTGGGCCCTCCTACATCGATCACTAATTTTAAAAAATGTCTCTCAGTCAGATCTTATGGAGGATTTTTTCTCAATTGAAGTTCCCTACTTTGAGATAACTCTAATTTGTGTGCCGAGCTGACAGAAGATTATTCAGCACAACCCTGAAGAGGATATAGAAAGTACAACACCCATGGTAGCCACAGAGTAAGCACAATGGTGTAGAGAAAGCTCCACAGGGAACCACCACAACCCCAGCTCTGGGTTGGGCATGTGATGGCTGTTCTTCGTTGTCAACTTGACTACTTCTGCAATTAACAAAAGCCCAAGTAGCTGGGTAAACCCGTGAGGGATTTTTTTCTTAATTAAATCATTTGAAGTGGGAAGACCAACTTGTAATCTGGTTCTTTTGAGGCGGGAAGACACACCTTTGATCTGGGCCACACCTCCTGCTGGTAGCCTATATAAGGGCGTGGGAGAAGGAAGCTTGTTCTCTGCCTGCTTGCTCTCATTCTCACCAGCAAGTCCTTTCCTTCACTGGCATCACAGTCTACTTCTTCGGGATTCCAGAGTACACTGAGGACCAGATGAGGCATCAGGATTTTTGAACTTTCCTTTGGTAGACAGTCATTGTTGGAGTAGCTGGACTACAGATTGTAAGCCAATCTAATACATCTCATATATATGGGCGTGTGTGTGTGTGTGTGTGTGTGTGTGCGCGTGTGTGTGCATGTGTGTGTTCATTATAACAGTTCTGTTCCTCTAGAGAACCCTGACTAATGCAGACAGTATTTGTAAAAGATGGGTACACTTTCCTTCCCTCCCCAGGACCGCTGTGTGAATTTACTAACCATATTTTGTCAATTCACAGCATTTAATAGGTGCCACATCTCACATCAGAGAACCAATGTGGGACTATTTGAAAACTCAGTCTCACAGATGAGAAGGGAGAAATGCAAATTGCTTTATTGTTTTTCCAAAAGGTGTTTAAAAAGACAACTAGGGTCATTACTATTCTGTTACTATTTGTCAGTTGTTCCATGCTATGCAAGAGAAGCCAGTACCATCCTCAGGAGAAACAGATCTCGCTGAGTACCTCCTCATTAGAAGCCTGCCTCAACACTCTGGAAACCTCAGATCTAGAAAGCATTTGGTCCCAATGCTGAGAAGGCCATGGCCTGGCAGAAGGGCTACCTACAAGGTCCTCAGCTCCTGTTTCTGCTGCTGCAGGCAATGACTAGCGGCTGTTTCTCCTTCACCCATTTCTTCCTACTCCCAAACGAGCCAATTTTTCTGGTTTGACTTTCTTCCATTTTGGATGTTATTTGCTGACTTCCTCTCATTTTTCCACTAGAAATATAGGATTACTCAGACCCTTGTAAATACACAGATTTGATCCACAGCCATGCTGTGTGTGCATGCATGATTGGGCCATATGTGTGCAACAGTTACACTTCTCACAGGATGTCCTGGGCTTCCGACATCTGTACTTGTCTAATTTCCTCACCATCCTTCATTTCCTTGGCTATGCCCCAGACTTTGCTCTTCTTAGTCTGGGGAACTTGGCTGTCCCCTCCCATACCATTCCCTGGTCCACATAGCTTCATGGAAGCATTCCTCCCCCACACCATATCTGAGGTGCTACCTCCGACAAAAGCAAAATGAGTACATGGATTATACTGGCTCCCATGACCATTAGAAGTCCTTCTGATGGCCCTGACCATCGCAGGGATACCCTAGGATAAACCAGGCACTGAGATAACCTATCTCCAAACTCAGCCACGTCCCCTTTACAATTATAGAATTTTCTTTACAACTGAAAAGAGATCTGATTAAAACAATATGCTGAGTGGCACAGGCTACGGTCACCACCATGGTGTGTCTGCACACTTACCTTCACGGCACTAAAGCAGAAGGCATGGAGCAGGGCTGCTACCAAGACACTCCGGCCCACACTGTACACAGCTGATGTGATTCCGGAAACAGCTAGAGTACAAACATCATCACAGATTACTAGATGAGCGCTTCTCAAAATTAGTAGAGGTGTAAGGAAGGAGAAGGGCTATGGCTTTCAGTATAAGCTGCCTGGCACAGGATCCATTCAAAGACACTGTCACTTAGTGTGGGGAAGATTGTGACCATGGAATTGACTATCCATGGCACTAAAGGTCAGTCGGGTCATGTGTCTTTTGGGGGAAAGATTTTTCAAGGCTCATATGTATTCTCACAACACACATCCACAACACTACAGACACAAGTGCATGCTGACCTATTCCTCCAATGATACATGTGCATGCTCACACACACATATGCATGTGCAAATGTGTACACACACATGCACTTTTTCTAAAGAATAGTTTTAAGGGGCCCCACTCACTCACTCACTCAAAATCAAGGGAAACCCTTCCCTTCCTTGTATCTTTGCTTATTCCTTTGATGGGCCATTTCTGGTTCTATGGAACATAGAAATTCCAAACTAAAGCAGGTTTGGAGCTCAACCTCCTAGGGTTAGGCCCCCATCCTCTGTCCCTGGGACCCCCAGACCTTCCCAGGAATAGCAGGTGCAAAGACTCACCTGACCCTCCAAACAGCAGCATGTCAACTTGTTCCAGAAGGTAGGTGCAGAAGGTGTTGATTTGTGGGAAGAGTCCCAGGAGGGAGATCACAGGGAAGCAACATAAGAATACTGGAAAAGAACAGACCAAAGGCAGCGATGAGCTAGGGGTGGGCTAATCATGGCCACGTTGTGGTTGTAATGTGGCTGCCTTTCCCCTTTCAGACTCTTCACCACACCTAGGGAAACTGAGGCAACAAGGACTCCTCTCAGCCAGGCCACTAGAGGATGAGAAAAAAAACATAGCAAGTGCATTATCCAGGGCTGATCACACAGACAGTTTGGGACCTAAGGGAGAGCTTGGGGGTGGAGGAGGGAGGAAGATGCCATGCCTGCAGCTCCAAAGAATGGAATCAGACCTGGGGAGATAGGGAGGGCAGTTAGAGGACAGGGAAAAGTCCAGAAAGATGTGCAAATTCAGAGGGAAAAAAATCCATACTTGTGTTAAAGATCCGCAAGACCAAACACTCCTGACTAGAGATTTCTGGTCTTGGAGACATGGGATGTTACAGAGCCAAGGCCACACTGCCCTGGCCTAGTTTTAGTCCCCCACAAGAATGATTCATCAATCACCCAATATCTTCTCATCAAATAAAATCTTTAAAATGTGTTCTTAGCAAACCCCTAGCTTCTAACAACCCCAAACGAATGCTGTTCAGGTAACATTTGAAACCTGTAACAGAGTTTGTCCTACTTTGCTGCAACTTGTCTGTCTGGGGTCCTCACAGACATAATTGCTAAAAAAATGCATGTGGCTCCTGAGAACCTGACTCTGGCTCCATCTTTTGCACAGGAAGGAATAACACACAGCTGTTGTGGCAAAACAGTTCTCCTCCAAAGAAATGAGCCAGATGTGAGTGACTCTGGCCCGGGAACACAGATACAGGTTGTCGCAGAGGTTTTGTCATGGAAGTAGTTACATGGGGTTTTATTAGTGATAGAACAAAGGTCCATTGGCTGACCACATTGTGTATGTGCATGCATGTTTGTGTATGTTTGGAGGGGTGCGTGTGCATGTTGAGTATATGTGTGTGTAGAGAGCCCAGTGGTTGACCTCAGCTATCATCTCCCAGGAACCACCTTACCTTGTTTGTTCACAGTCTCTTATTACCTGTGGACTAGCCTACTTGGTGAGGGTCAAGACAGCTGTTGTCCCTGGAATCTCACTCTGCAGGCCTCACCACAGCTGTGAGCTGCCTCTTCTGACATGGAAATGGCAAGCAGAGCCTTAATGCATAGTGAGGCAGACACTACCCCCAAGAGGAAACCCTGTGGACCATTCCCTATGCTCTGGCTGTAGCCCAGGGAGGGCCAGCTCCATGTGGCTCTGGTGGAGGGATCACTGCATGTCATGTGTATTTAGCTCTTGCTTATTTTGTCCTTTTACTGTGTGTTCCTCACTCTGGGTTTTCTTGTGTCTCCTCCAAAAGATGCTGAAGTCCTAAACTCATCTCTGATCACTGTGTCTTAGTTGCAGGTGATGTAGTCAAGACCCTCCTGGGTCCCTTGTGGCCCTAAACCAATGCGAAGGGTCTCCTTTGAAAGGGAATAATTGGGGCTGGAGATGTGACTCAACCAATAGAGTTCTTGCCTACCATGCATGACACTTGAGAGGTTCAATTCCCTGCACCCCATAAAATGAAGCATGGTGGCATATGCATATAATCTTAGCACCCAGGAGGCTGAGACAAGATCATGGACACAAGTTAAAGTCAGCCTGGTTTACCTCAGGAGAACCCTGCCTCAAGATAAATAAATAAACAGAACACAATGCAATAATTTTAAAAATACAGTAAAGGTTAGTGAGATGGCTCAGTAAGTAAAAGCCCTTGTTGCATAAATCTGATGACCTGAGTTTGACCTCTGGAATTACTGGTAGGAGAAAAGCAACTCCTAAAAGTGGATCTCTGAGTTCCACACATGTGCTGTGCTGTGGAATGGGCCAGTACACACATACACACACACACACACACACACACACACACACACACACACATACACACACACACACACACAGAGCATACATATACACACCACACACACAAACACAACACACACTATATACACACACCATACACATGCACACATAACACAAACACACACACAAATTAAAATTAAAAAACAAACAAACAATAACAATGAAAAGGCAAAGTCTGGTCCTGGAGACAGACAAGCAGATGGGGAGAGGCTGCGCCGTCCCGGAGGGAAGATGCCCAGCTGGCACCTTACTCTTGGACCCCAGCTCCTGGGCTGTGCGCTTCTGTTTTCCTTTACACCCAGTCCCGACAGGATGTCACCACAGCCCAGGAAGGTCTCTTCTGACAGGAAACGAGCCCCAGAAACCAGCGCACGCCTTTTCTCTCCTGCTAATCTTACAGTCCTTGTTTCTCCTTCTCTCCTAGCTGGCCCTGGATGTGACAGTGGCGAAGAGGCTGCTGGGGGCACAGTGACCTTGAATTGCCCTTGACGCCCCCTACAAAGTCAGAAAAACCCTCTCAGCACCTGCCTCTTCTGCTTTGTTCTTACTCATTTTCCAGTCGTTTCACGCTCTGTGCAAATCAGAGCTTTTAACCCCCTCCCGCCTTACTCGAGGATTGCTATCCATAGTTTTCCTTTCATCTGAGCCACAGATACCATCTAGTCAGCTCCTGGGTTATTTATCACCCTTTTCACCCGTCACCGTTGAGGAACAGACAATATGTATTAGGAAGTTTTAAGGGGAGAAACGCATTTCAGGAGGGAGGTAAGGAAGCCGCATTCCCGGCCTCTCCCACACCCTGGAGGAATGGACTTGAAGAAAAACGAAAGGATAATGTCCAGTGGCCTATTTGGAGGCACAGGCTACTGCTAAACAAGTACCTCAGGCTCCAACCAAGCCTAGCCCTCCGTCCTTTGGTCCATAATAAACTCTCTGGTTCTCCTGCCATGGAAAGTGGGGTATGCCAGGAACTCAGGGTGCTGGCTTTCTGGGAGCAGCAAAGCAAAGCAAAACAAGAAGTGAGGGTGAGTGGAACCCAGACAGGAAAAGCAACTGGAAAATGAAATGCGTCAGCTTGGCTTCCCCGTAAGTCTCTCTTCCTTCCCCTCCCCTCTTTTCCTTCCCCGCCCCCTCCCTTCTCTTCCTCCCCCTCCTCTCCCCTTTTATTCTGTTTTATTGAGGGGGGGCTGTTTTTAACTTTATTGTCTTTTAAAACTAGGATCTCATGCAACTCAGACTGGCTTCCAATTTGCCATTTAGCCAACAGCAGCTGTGAACTCCCGATCCTCCTGCCAAGTTCTGGGGCCACAGGTCTGTCCCATCGCGACCAGCATCCTCAAGTCTCATTCTACAATTATCTGTAAACTATTTTTCTTAAGACGCCGGCTCTGAGGGTCCAGGGAGCTGTCTGTGATGTAGAGTGGGAAGCACTCCAAAACCCCATGTGCTCATTGGCTTCTGAAGCGCTCCATGACCACCTCTGTATTTCTTAGCTACTCCACTCCACCAAGGCTTATCTGGTGCCTGTGGCTTCCAGGCACTGAGCAGCCTGTAGCAGTTCAGTGGTGAGAGGCCAAGTGGGGTCTCCGCTTCATCTGCACTGAGGAGACAAGCTGGCTGGGGAGATGTGAATCAAATATGACAAGTGGAACCGGATTGCTGTCACATGGGTCAGGTGCTGCAAAATGGCCAGAGGATGGAAGGCGGAACTCAGGGAAAGGAACCACAGAGCAGAACACCGGTAGAGGGCTCTAGTCACAGCAGGACATCCTACAAGGAACAGAGGAGCAGAAGCCAAGCGCATGGGAGCTCCAGTTAGTCAGTGAATCCTTGTCCCTCTAAGAGGTGGAGCTAAAACCACTGGTCCACACTGGTGATCTGGGGGAAGGTACCCAAGAGGAACCCAAGGGAGAGGAGCATTTAGACACAGATATCTTCTCACATCCTTTCACATTTTCTGCCTCTGATAAACAGCTCATGTGACTTTGAGCTTCAGGGCTCTAACACCGCTACTTAAAAAAGGAAATCGACCAACCTATTGAATTAAATTAAAATCCCAAGGAGTATTCTAATGTGTGTCCATGTGCCCAGTCCTGACTACATATCTCTATCCGAGCTTCAGCTTCCCCCGCAGCTGGCAGGACCTTGGGAGGGCATGTTAAGTGGAGGAGAAAAGGCCTGATGGCCTTCCCGTGGCCTGTGACAGACTTCAAATAATGGTAGAGGAAGAGACATCAGCAGGGCTGGGGCCCTTGTTCTCATAGGAAGGCACTGGCCAATCTAATCAGGGGTCTTTTCCTTTTATTCTTCCATACTTCTGTTTCCTACTTGAACTTGAAGGTGTTCTGAAACATGTTCCCTAGGCCTTTGGCTTTAGGCTGCTTGGCTCTTCCATGGATATATAGGAAGTGAGTTTTCAGGAGGAAGCGTATGTATGTGTGCATATGGTGTATACTTGTATGTATAAATGAGTGTGTAAGCATGTGTGTGGTATGTTTATGTTTGTGTGTAGGTCTGTGTATGTATGTGAGTGTGTGTGGTGTGTTTGCATATGTGTCTGTGTGTGTATGTATGTATGTATGCATATCTGTGTGTCTATGCATGTATGTGACTGTGTGTATATGTGTGACATGCATCTGTGTAAAATCGGCTACAGATTCAGCAGGAAGAGAAAAGGGAAGGGACCAGTGAGGAAGGAGGTTTGAGGGCCACATCCCTACCCAGGTTTTCAACTATACAGGGCACAGAGAAAGTTCTTCACATACCTGGACACCTACCCCAGGACCACGGCAGAGATTCAGGGACCAGTCAGGGAGGTCAGGGAAAGAGTGACACTAATTCAAGACTAGGAGTGCTCATCAAGAAATGAACATCTTGATGGCAATGAGAGTCTCGGGGCAGTGACTTTGCCACTGTCTTTACAAGTGTGGGCAGTCACAGTCATCACATGTTCAATGCCATCACAACAATCTCCAGGTGTGTGCCAGAGTCTTTGGAGCTATGGATCAGCACTGCATAGACGTTTTGCAAATTGGTAACAGTAAGTCAATGCTGGTATGTGGCCCTTTTCTGTGTTCATACATGAATTCATTTAACATTACATGAGTTATAAGGTGGGTCACTTTTTTGACACTCCCCCCCCCCACTTCAGCAGAGTGTTGTTCACTTAGTAAGGTGTGATGGTTAGTGTGGTCAACTTGTTAGATCTGGAATCACCAGGGAAATTACTTAGCCTCTGGGCATGTCTGTGCCGGATGATGTTGACTAGGTTAATTGAGGCAGGAAGGCAGACCCACTCCAAAGGCAGGAGGGTCCGGTCCGTGGGGTGGGGTCCTGGGCTGTAGAAGATGAGGAAAGTGATGTGATCACTAGCATTCACTGCTCTTTACTTCCTGACTGCAGCTGTGATGTGTTCAGGTGCTTCGTGCCTGCAGCCTTGACTTCTCACCACCATGCTTTGAATGTGAGCCAAAATAGATCCTTTCTCCCTGAAGTTGCTTTTGTCAGGGTATTTTATCACAACAATGACAACAACAAAAGACAGATGGACGGACGGACGGACAGACAGACAGAAAGAAAGAAAGAAAGAAAGAAAGAAAGAAAGAAAGAAAGAAAAAAAAGGAAGGATACAAACCAACAGAGAGCTGGGACCCAAGCTCTGGTAGGCTGCCTTTAGTGTTAAAGACCTTACCTATGCTATGAGTGGGTGACTCACCTGAGTGGAGCACTGAATAGCAGGTGCTCCCTGGATTCGAAGCCAAGCCAAGTATAGCAGCACAAGCTAGAGTGACCAGAGCTGAGACTGATGCTCCTTTATGCATGATCATAGTATCCGGGCCATGAGGAGAGGCCTGAAGCTGTTGCCCAATGAACAATGAACAGCCAGTTCACTCCAGCAGGCATCACTGCCAGCATGCTTCAGATGTCACAATAGTGTTCTTGGTCATAGATATCAAAGCCCTTTCAAAGAATCCCATTGTTAAGGCCTAGGGGGATGGATGGTTTAGTAGGTGAAGTGCTTGCCTTGTAAGCACGGATGTGAAGTCAATCATCAGAACTACATAAAAATGAGACATGATGGTAAGTGCATGAAATTCCAGGTCCTGGGAGATGGAGACAGCCCTAGCTTACTTATCCTAAGTTAGTGAGAGACTCTGACTCAAAACAAAAAAACCAAGGTGGTAGGTGCCTAAAGAATGACGGTGAATAGTCACCCCCCCCACATCCCCATTACCTTTATCTTTGGCTCACAGCCTTCTATAGACACAAGCCAAGAGGAAAATACTTAGCTCTTCACAGCAGTAATCAAGTGCACAGGTCTTTTCCACTAGGGGTGCAAAAGATAAAGGGGAGACACAGCTTCCCTTCCCAAGACTCTTCCCCACAACCCCAAACTTACCTATTAAGTGGTCCCTGATTGATTGCAGGGTCTCTGGTGAGAAGAACTTCAGGCCATATACGACATAGCTGGGAGGGTGCCTGGCTTTGGCCCCTGCATCAAGAAGCAAAATAAGGCCACACAGCATACAGAAATAGATTGGTCTGCTATAGGCTATGATTTGGTTGTGTCCCTAGAAAACAAATACAATTTCCAAGTTTTACCTTTTGTTTTGACTCATTGAGAAGAGTTACACAGTCAAGAACTTACACCATATGATTCAACTGACACTATCCAACACCCATTCCCTACCCTAAAACCCAACATTACCCCAACACCCGTTCCAACCCCTAACAGCCATTCCTATCCCCTAACATCCATCCCTACCCTGCTGTAATGTATAAGCTCAAAACACCAGGAAGTAAAAGGCGGGAGACAAGTAGACAGATGTACAATGATGTTTATTTTGTCAAACCAGAATGAGACTATCAAAGAGAATGTTGCTGTTTAAGTACAACAAGATTTACCTAAAAATTTCATTTTACCACCCGCAGAGCAAATCTGTCTGACTCAATGCTTCCCTCAGGGGGTGGGGCAGACTTCCATTCTCCTTGCTCCTCTCAGGTGCAAGACTCCTTGAAACCTTTGTTAGTTATGCACATTTAACCTGGGCTCCCTATCAACAAGAAGTAGCATTATGTATGGTGCTTTAATTCTCTCATGACAGGAAGTAAGCCACGGAGGAGAAAGCTGTGATGGCCAGACGGACAGATGTACGTCTCAATGCGGCAGAACAGTTGACTTCCTTGACAAAAAAATCATGCTTTTTTTTTCTATAAAGTTAACTTTATTTTTTATTCATTATTCTAATGGTTTATTCTAAAGGATGTTTTAATTTTAACATTCCTTTCCTTTTTTAATTAAAATTAGAAATGAAGCTTGCTTTACATGTCAATCCCAGTTCCCTCTCCCTCCTTTCTTCCCCTGCCCCCTAACAACACCCATCCCCTTTCTGCTCCCTAGGGAGAGTGAGGCCTTCCATGTGGGATCTTCAAAGTCTGCCATATCATTTGGAGCAGGGCTTAGGCACTCCCCCGTGTGTCTAGGCTGAGAGAGTAACCCTCTATGTGGAATGAGCTCCCAAAGTCCATTTGTACACTAGGGATAAATACTGATCCTTGCCAGAGGCCCCATAGATTTCTCAGGCCTCCCAACTAACACCCACGTTCAGGGGGTCTAGATCAGTCCTATGCTGGTTTCCCAGCTATCAGTCTGGGGTTCATGAGCTCCTCCTTGTTCAGTTCAACTGTTTCTGTGAGTTTCTCTAGCCTGGTCTTGACCCCTTTGCTTATCACTCCTCCCTCTCTGCAACTGAATTCTAGGAGTTCACCTCAGTGTTTAGTTGTGGGTGTCTGCTTCTGCTTCCATCAGCTACTGGATAAAGGCTCTAGGATCCTAAACATAACACCAGTAGCACAGACACTGAGATGACAATTAATAAATGGGACCTCACAAAACTGAGAAGCTTCTGTAAGGCAAAGGACACAGTCAACAAGACAAAAAGGCAGCCCACAGAATGGGAAAAGATATTCACTACTCCACATCTGACAGAGGGCTGATTTCCAAAATATACAAAGAACTCAAGAAACTAGTCACCAAAACACCAAATAATCCAATTAAGAAGTCGGGTACAAAACTAAATAGTGAATTCTCAGTAGAGGAGTCTAAAATGGTTGAAAGACACTTAAGAAAGTGCTCAATATCCTTAGCCATCAGGAAAATGCAAAACAAAACAACTCTGAGATACCATCTTACTCTTGTCAGAATGACTAAAATCAAAAAAACCAACAACAGTTTATGTGGGAAAGGATGTGGAGAAAGGGAAACACTCCTCCACTGATGGTGGAAGTGCCGACTTGTACAGTCACTTTGGAAATCAGTATGGCGGTTCCTCAGAAAAATGGGAATCAGTCTACCACAAGATTCAGCAATTCCATTCTTAGGCATATACCCAAATGCACATTCACACACCAAGGACATCTATTAAACTATGTTCATAGCAGCATTATTTGTAATAGCCAGAACCTGGAAGCAATCTAGATGCTCCTCAACTGAAGAATGGGTAGAGAAAATGTGATGACTACTCAGCAGAAAAAAAAAAACAATGAAATCTTGAAATTTGCAGGCAAATGGATGGAACTAGAAGAAACCATCCTGAGTGAAGTAACCTAGTCACAGAAAGACAAGCATGGTATGTACTCACTCAAATATGGATTTTAGACATAGAGCAAAGGATTACCAGCCTATAATCCATACCACCAGTGAAGCTAGGAAACAAGGAAGACCCTAAGAGAGACATACATGGTCCTCCAGAGAAGGGGAAAAGGACAAGATCTCCTGAGCTAATTGGGAGCATGGTGGGAGGGGAGAGGGAGCTAGGAGAAAGAGAAGGGGAGAAAAGGAGGGGAGAGGAAGATATGAGGGAGCAGGAAGATTGAGTCAGGGGAAGAATAGAGGAGAGTAAGAAAAGAGATACCATAATAGAGGGAGCCATTATAGGTCTAAAGAGAAATCTGGCACTAGGGAAATGTCCAGAGATCTACAAGGATGACCCCAACTAACAATCTAAGCAATAGTGGAGAGGCTACTTAAATGCCCTTCCCAGATAATGAAAATCATGCTGTTTTGACTAACTGTTGGTCACTTTTCATTCAAGGAGAACCAAAGACTTTGCAGATCTCATCTTAGTCCTCAAAATACTGCTTAAAGAGGTAGAAATAACCTTTATTCTTTTCGAATGGCTGTGGGAAATTAAGAAAAAAGGCAGAAAAATGGCACATTGGGCAAAAGTCCTTGTTCTGCAAGTCTAATGACCAGTGTGCCGTCCTGGACATTCATATCAAGGTGAGAGGAGAGAACCAACTCCACAGACTTGTCCTCTCTCTCTCTCTCTCTCTCTCTCTCTCTCTCTCTCTCTCTCTCTCTCTCTCTCTCTCTCTCTCTTTCTCTCTCTCTCTCTCATACATATCATGGTTATATGCTCAAAAATAATAAAACTTTAAATTATTTTAAAATAAGTAATGGGATATTGGACCAGCAAAACTCCGACACTGCTGAAATAAATGCACACACAGTTCTTAAGATTTGAGACCAACAACAATGAACCAGATGGAGAGTGTGCCTTGCAATTCACAAGCCACCTTACATGCAACCAGCAGAGGAAGATCAGCATGATCTCACACCAGTGTTTTTAGTCACTGCCTTCAATGTGCTATAGTTAGGAAGAGAATTGAAATTGCCACTGCTTCCAAAATAGAAATGGTCCTATTCTGAGGCCATCTTTCAACAGGACAATACCAGTATCTATCACAGAGACTGGCTGCCTTTGATCCTGAGGCCAGGCTCAGTCTTAAAAAAGAAAGAAAGAAAGAAAGAAAGAAAGAAAGAAAGAAAGAAAGAAAGAAAGAAAGAAAGAAATGTTGCACTGGTAGGGAATTTTCTTCAGGATCCAAGTAGGTCATGGATTAATAAATACAGGAGAATACTTTCTTTGCATTAAAAAATAATAAGACCAAAGCCGAGTGAAATCTAAACGCCCTTACTAAGTAAACGGCAAAATAAAATAGCTGGTATAAATAGCTGTGTGGTGCATTAAAACACACACGTGGGAGACATTTCCTCAAACTGACATAGTTTAAGAAACATAATTAAGCAGCTATCATTTGTTCTGGCTCTTCCTCTTATCAAAAGGTTAATGGGATGGAGGGATGGCTCAGTCAGTAAAATACCTTGTAAGCATGAGGACCTCAGTTCAAGCCTCAGAACCCAATGCTGTAGCATGCCTACAATCCTAGTGCTGGGAGGTAAAGACAGGCAGGTCTCTGGGGCATGCTAGCCATCTTGGCAAGCTCCAGGTCAGTGACAAACTACTTCAAACCCCCTATGTATCCCTCCAAATCAAGGTGGCCCAGTCCCTTGGCCTATATCCACACATGTGTACACCTGCACTTACACACACACACACACACACACACACACACACACACACACACAGAGAAAGAGATGCATACAGATATATGTATTAGAATACATTATCTAGGAGCAGGCCTCCTCTGGCCTTGAGCAACATGAAATGCCCTCAGGCATCTTTCAGGGACTTCGTCAGAGAATTGAACTTGTCCTCCACGTTGGTAATTTACAAAACCAAACACAGAGCCCCTGCAAAGAGCTTGCCTTTGTTTCTGTGATCATGCATCCCATGTTTGCGGTCCCAGAGTCATCCTTGGCTTACTACATACCCAACACACTAACCATTCTATCTTCCAGAGTCCCCAGAATGTTCACTAATGAAATTCGGTGCTTCCCCATTGCTGAGGGCACATCTGCATCAGGCATCAAAGACTGACTTTTAAAAGAAACATTTCACCTATTCCACAAGGTGAAATCTAATCCCCCAGTTCTGTTTATAACCTTCACTTCCACAGTGGGTTGGGAGCATCCTTGAGGTAGCTGTCTGAATGCTGACCTTGTGTACATGTGGGTTTCCCATCAGCCCCACCCACCAGCAACACTGCAGCAGACTCTTCACAGAGCAGTTTGGAAGATCCAGAGAGAGAGACGACAATCCTTCATGGAAGCCTGCTACTGGGGGCTAAGTGACCAGAAACCTGCTCACTTTTTACAGGGCTTCTAGAGACCAGCTCAAACAAGGGCTGCATCTACTTAGAAATCCTACTGTTTACATGCATAGATGTCTGACTTTAGTTCACTATGACAGCAAGAAAATCCACTGCTCTGTTTTCTCCCTGTGACATGCCTTCTCCCTGTGACATACCAGCTGGAATCCTGAGATGGTAGCTTGTTCTATTATAGGAATCAGACAGTATGACTCAGCTCAGCACAGCAACACAGGGGTCACAGTAATGATACCGCAAATGTGCCTCAAGTGTGAGGTTTGCCTGCTGCCAGTCCCTCCCCATGGTCTTAACATGCTTTGTATCACATTCCAAAGTCCATGCGCGCGCGAGCGCGCGTGTGTGTATGTGTGTGTGTGTGTGTACAAGTTTGTATGGGTGTACACACATGTATAGAAGCCAAGCATAGTGTATTTTCCTCTATCACATCTCTACCTTATTTTATTTGATAAAGGGACTCATGGAGTGTGGAGTTCTTTGATTGTCCATAGTTGGCCAGTCAGTGGCAGGGGTACTCCTACCTCTGTACCCGCAGCACTTGAATTACAGATTTGTGGGGCTCTGCCTGACTTTTACATAGGTTCTGGGGATCCAACGCTAGTCCTCATGTTTATACGTCAGTCACTTGACTGACTGAGCTGTCTTCCCAGCCCCAGATAAGGAATGTTTGATGCCATGTAACAGCGGCAAACCAGCAACAGTGAGGGAAAGACACAGGAAGGGAGGGGGTGATGGGACATGGGTCGCAGCGACCCTTCAGAGCCACACACCTGCTCCAGGTTTCTGAGGGCAATCCCAACACTGCATCTTAATACCCTAATTACCCTACTGCTAGTGGTCCTGATGCTGAGACTCACAGGTAAAGATGCATCATATGCAAACCAATTACAGGGAACGGAGGAATTTAACAGGACAGCATCTGCTACCACAACGATCACCAGTTTAAAGCATTTCTTAATTTTGATGGGCAAACGAAGTTTAAAAATCAGCCTTAAACACCATATATGAATTTTTTATTTTTTTAAAGATTTATTTATTTATTTATTATGAAATTAACATTCTGCCTCCATTTATGTCTGCACACCAGAAGAGGGCACCAGATCTCATTATGGATGGTTGTGAGCCACCATGTGGTTGCTGGGAATTGAACTCAGGTCCTCTGGAAGAGCAGTCAGTGCTCTTAACCTCTGAGCCATCTCTCCAGCCCCCCGTATATGAATTTTTTAAATGTATAATGGTGGGAGGATAATTTTCCATCACTGGAGAGATTTTTCAGAGCCTGTGTGTGTGTGTGTGTGTGTGTGTGTGTGTGTGTGTGTGTGTGTGTGCATGCACTTGTGACATGCGCCTCCTGGGGGTTGCTGTGACAGAGGCAGGAAGGACACACAGAACACAGGAGGGTGAAAGCACATGGCTATGGCCAGCACCTGAAGAGTGGATCCTGACGGCATCCAAGGCCACTGGGGCACCAGGGCCAGAAGAAACAAAACGTAACTAGGAGCTGGAAGATTCTGGGCCACCAGTGGGCTGGTCTGGGTGGACCCAGATTCTCTCCCACAAATCAGACTCCAAGTTATTGGGATAAAGGGCAAAGGGCACCTGAAATGGAGGAATAAGAGGAAACTGGCTTCATGCACAGAGTTTCCACGTGGGGACACGAAACTAAAGCCACAGCAGGAAATGGACTCTCACCTGTTAGAGCAGCATTTATCACAAAAGGGAAAGATAGGTTTTGGTGAAGACACGGAGAAAGGAGACCCCTTCTGGTGTACTATGGATGGTACTGCCATGAAGGAAGGTGGGAAATTCTCAAAAAAGGTACAAACAGTGGATGAAAGCAGCTGCCTTGCAAGTGGAGAGCCTGAGTTTGAATCACCAGAACCCACATAAAAGATGGATATGTAGCAACAGTGCTTGTAAGCCAAGTGCTCTTACAGGTTGGTACAGCAGACAGAAGAGCCTCCAGCTACCCTGGCAAGTACAGCAGTGGAAACACTACAGAGAGACCCTGCCTCAAACAAAGCAGAAGGCAAGGACTAGCACCTAGATTGTCCTCTGACATCTATATACATGTTGTGGTTGTGGCATATGTGCCCGAACAAGCACATGTGTGCATGTGGGTCATGCATACTTACACACACACACACACACACACACACACACACACACACACACACACACACGCACGCGCGCGCGAGGAGGAGGAAGCTGGAAATATGCTTCATCTGTTAAGAGCTCTTGCTGCTCTCCTAGAGGACCTGGTTTCATTTTCCAGCACCTACATCAGGCCGCTCAACTACTTGAAACTTCATCTCTAGAGGATTTGACACCCTCTTCTGGTCTCCACAGGCATGTGTACACATGCTGCATATACTCACATAAATACACACCTACATATAAATAAGTATTTTTTAAAAATACAAACCGAGTGGTAGTGGTTCACACAATGGTCAGAGTGCAGAGGCAGGTGGATCTCTGAGTTTGAGGCCTGGTTTACAGAGTGAGTTCCAGGCCCAAGGCACACAGAGAAGTCCTGCCTCAAAAAAACCAAAACCAAACCAAACCAAAACAACAAAAAACCCAAACAAACAAAAAAAAGAAAACAACAACAAAAACACAAATAGAATTACTATAGCACTCATAAGTCTCACTTCCGGGTCTATACTCAAAGGATGGGAAAATAGTATGTGAAAATGCCCGTGTGCTTGCATTTATTAAAGCATTACCTGCAATGGCCAAAATACATATGGCACTGGGGTAGATTGAATGAGAAATGTCCCCCAGTAGGGTGAGGTGTTGGATGCTTGGCTCTCAGCTGGTGGCACTATTTTGGGAAGTTATGGACCCTTTAAGAGCTGGAGCCTTACTGAAGGAAGTACATCACTGGGGGTAGGCTTTGAGGGTTCCTAGCCTTGTCCCACATCCTGGTTTCTCTTTCTGCTTCCTGTGTGCTGACGAAATGTGATTGGCTAGCTTCCTGCTCCTGCCACCATGCCACGCCTTCCTAATGAATGCTCTCCCTCTGGAACCATAAACCAACATAAGCTCTCCCTTAAATTGCTTTTAGTTATAGCAGTTTGTCATAGCAACAAAAAAAAGTAACAAGTGTAGGCTCCCACCTAAGTATTTGTTCATAGGTGAATGCTGTTTAATAATGTGGTATGTGCATACAGGCACACATGAAATACTATTCAACCTTGTAAAAGATGGCAATCCTGTCATGTGCAAACATGAAAGATCTTGGAGAATGTTGTGTGAAGAGAAATATGCCAGGCATGGAAGGAGGAATACTGCATGACCTCACCTTGTACAGAATATAACAAAGTCTGACTCACAGACAAAATGAGCGGGGGGGGGGGGGGGTGCTAGGGAACAGGCAGCGGGTAGGAAGTGCTGGTAGAAGGAGCGCAGTCAAGCACATGGGATCAGGGAGCTTGTAGATCTATTACACAATACAGTGGTGGTGGCTATCATCAACAATTACATAGGATGCTCTTGAAAATACTGAGAGTACACTGTAAACATTCTCATCAGAAAAAAAGCATGTGATATGATAGACAAATTAACTTGACTTAATCATTCTACCACATATACATGGCCAAATTATAACTTACCTCCAAAATAGATGTAAGAGTATCTTTAAACACATACAGTTTATGACTACACACTAAGAACACATGAGGAGCAATTGCCAGGTGCCAGCCTGTGTTTGAAGCAATTACATGCACTATTTGTCCAATCCCAGCCCACATTAATTGGCTTTATTTGCACATAGGGAAACTGAGGCACATGGAGGACCACCAGCATGCTCAGCATTAGATAGTCAAGTGGATAGGTGGGAAACAAAGACAGGCAGGCAGATGGCAGAGTGTGGACCATCCAATCAAGCTGTGACTTTCGCCACACGAGCCCAGGGAATAAAAGTGACCTGTCACACGAGGTCTACCCCATGCCTGAGCCTCTCCTCCACCAATGCCAATGCACCATGCGCTTAGGTCCAGCCAGAGCTTTGCGCCATGCACTTGGGTATCCATCCACTGCTTCTATTCCTGTATTCAAGATACAGACACAGATGCAAATTTGACCCTTTGAATAGATGTTTCTGTCACCCTATTTTCAATGCAAGCAGATGAGCCAAGCTGCAGGCCTGCACTTACGTGTATTGGTGAGGCGGGGTCAGGCTGGACGCTCTAAAACACAAACCAGAGGGCCTGGGTCAACTCTCGATTGCAGGGCTATGGTAAGGATACTACACACACCCATGCACACCTACCCCCTCCCACACACACAGAGGATGGGTTCTTGCCTTGAGCAGGGAGTACTGGCAGCTGGCCATGACCAGGCAGAAGAGCAGGACCCATAAGTCTCTACAGAAGCCACGATTCAGGGTCAGAAAGCCCAGGAGGGAAACCAGAACACTCAGCAGAATTGCCACTACATTTTCCTTCACATCTTCAGTTCTGTGCAAAACACACAAACAAGTATGAGTTAAGACCGCCACCCATGTCATTATTAACGCAGGCTTCCCTGCCCTCATCTGTAGACTGACACCATGCTCAGAGAGGCTATGTGGGCCAGCCCCTGTGTCGATTTATTCTTGTGCTGTTCAAACAAAGTCCTTATTTTGACCCTGGGTGTTTGTTCTTGGAATAAATGAAACAGGATTCCATTGACTTCCTTGGCCACTGCACTGGGCTGCCTAGGAGGAGGATTTCAACCACACAGCCTGGAATGTTTCCGAACTTCACAGGCTACTCTCAGTGAGGGTTTGGGAAGATTGCATTGACACCAGGATAGCTGTTTCCGGATTGATCTTCTCTGGAGTCAGAGTTTGCTGCCCTGTTCCAGGGGCAGGAAGCTTCAGAGGGACTAAGAATGGGCTTAAACAACACAGGGTGAGGGCCGCGGTCTAGGAGTGGACAGTGTGGCTACCTCTGTCCCAGCAGAGGACAAGGTCATCTCATCTACTTCCCGTATAGCCCGGCAGTTCATCTGTCACCCATTCTCAGCTTTACACCCTGGAAGATCAAGTTTTCTCATGCATGTGAGGTTTAACGACACCTCCCACTAAGTATCAGGGGTAATTTATGGATGTCTTTTGAAATAAAGGCTCAGATGTCATGATAAATAACATGAGGGGAGGGAAGCATGATGGGTAAGCAAGGAAAGCATTTGCCATCAAGTTCGACCTCTCAGATTCACATGGCACAAGGAGAGAAATGACTCCAGCAGGTTGTCCTCTGACCTCCACATGTGCACTGTGGCGGCAGGCATGGATATGTGCAATACACACGTGTGTGCATGCACGCGCGCACACACACACACACCTATAAAGAGATTCGGTTTTCCTATGAGGAGTTAACACAACCTTTTCCTTTTTACAGAAAAATAAAGTAGTAATTTTTTAAAAGTCATCTAGCAGGATGCATTATCTTGGATTACTGGTCACATATTGGGTGTTCTGCTCATGTGCATGCCCTAGGGTAACACAGTATTGTTAGCAAAGTGATTACAACACTATTCCCTGACTTGTGGGTCCTGAAATTTACTGCTGTAATTTTGCAAGACTGTCGTTTTGGTTTTTTTTTTTCCCTGCATCTGATCACACCATTTAAGACATGACTGTACCATTACTGTAACAAGTAGTCACTGGGGGACAGATGGCAGTTAGACAGCCCTGCCACTGCCCCAGAGGCTGGCAATGAGCTCTGAACAGACCTTGCTGTGCGAGCATTAGCGATCATACCATCAATTTTTAAACCAATCCCCACCAGAGCCACAGCCTCTGAAAACCCTAATATTGTCCCCCAGACATCCTGATGGGGAGCCCACAAACAGGATGCCCCCACTCTAAGCCGACAGCAAACTGGAACCTCCCTACCTTGCCTACCCAGGCTCCATACCTCCAGTCACAAAGTGTTTTATTCTAGGGAACAATAATAAGAGGAGGCAAAAAGGAGGGAGAGGCCTAACCAGAGAGCAGCACTAAGTTAGTGTACAGCAGAGGGGAGAGAGAAACTGCAATCCAAGCTGTGCGGGGCACAGGTAAGCATTACTCCATTTAACCTCCCTCCATCCCCGGACCACAGTGGCTCAGGCAAGGCATACCTCCTGCTGCTGAACCCGAAAGCCCTCCTAGCAAAACAGGGCAGGACGTGAACAGACCAAAGAAGACTGTCTCCCAAGCAAACCTGCTGTCTAGTCCATACTGTTCAATCATCAATTCCCATGACAACGGTGGAATTCAGTGTCTAAGTCACTGGGGTTCACAGCAAAGTGGGGTGTGGGCTGGAAATAATCCAGGTGACGTGAGCAAGCTGCAATTTGCATTTTAGGAGCATTTGAGTATGCGCATTGGTGTCCTCTCTTATATTCCGGCCACGCCCATGCATGCTTGACAGCTTACCGATCCAATAGCGCCAACAACGTGAGTCGATCATACCAGACTTTAATCCACTTCCCAGGGAAAATGATGAATTTGTAAAACTGCTCTCGGTTAAACTTTCCTTGGGCCGAAGAACGTGATGAATCTTCCAGATCCTGACTCATGTGCTTTTCACACGGGAAACAAAACAGAGATCAAAGGCAGAAAAGAGTGTTACTGTGGTATGTCCTTGTCACAAACACACCCATAGTTTAAAAACACAAGGGCAGGGGGAGGAGGGCTGAAGGGATGGCTCAGAGGTTAAAAGTGCCATCTGTTCTTTGTTTTTTTGTTTTTTGTGTGTGTGTGTGTGTGTGTGTTTTTTTTTTTTTTTTTTTTTTTGGTTTTTCGAGACAGGGTTTCTCTGTGGCTTTGGAGGCTGTCCTGGAACTCACTCTGTAGACCAGGCTGGCCTCGAACTCACAGAGATCCGCCTGCCTCTGCCTCCCAAGTGCTGGGATTAAAGGCGTGCGCCACCAACGCCCGGCTGCCATCTGTTCTTACAGAGCTTTGGATGTTAAATCCCAGCACCCACATGGAGCCTTGTAACCGTCCAGTTCCAGAGCTCTGATGCCCTCTTCTGTCCTTTGCTGTTTCCTCCATACATGTGGTGTACATACACTTATGCACGTGCACTTGTTCCGGAGCAAAACAAAATGGTCAAATTCTGAAACCAGCATATTTTGTTTAAAAGGGCTAGTCTAAGAAAAGAATAATGATTAAAATTACACCAATTCCATGAAGATGCTACAACTGAAATTCTGGCACTCACCATTTAAAACATTTCAGCTCATTAAGTCAAGGAAGCATATTTTAAGTGGCTTAACTTTTAAATTGTTATTAAATATAATACTGAAGAAAATATTCAAATTTTACTCCAAATGCAGAGGCTTTCATTGAAGGTAACTAGGTCACTGACAAAGTCTGCCCTAAGGACAGAATGAGAAGGGGCAGTAGCTCAGCCAGTAAAGGACTTGCTACAGAAGCACGAAGACTCTAGTTTGCTACCCATATGTAAACAGTCAGTCATGGCGGAGTGTGCCTGTAACCCCAGTACTGGGGAGGGAGATGCCGATGGACAGCTGAGGCTTACTGACTGGCCAGTTTAGATTACATGGTGAGCGTCAGGCCGTAGAGAGACCCCGTTCCAAAAACTGGAGAATGAGTGATTAACTACAGCCAAGGTTGACCTCTGACCTCCGCACATATGAGCATGCATGTGCACAAACACTTGTGTGTCTGAGTATGTGTGGTATGTGGGTGCATGCATGTGTGTGTGTATGTGTTTGTGTGTGTGCATGCACATGTATGCTAGTTCTTCAGAGCCTTGTGCATCTAGAGAAGACATGAAGATGAAGCCGGAAGTGGAGGGGACCAAATAGTGACCTTGTGAGGAACTGGAGTTTGGAATAGGAAACCAAGCAGAAGGCAGGGTGTCCATCAGCAGCCATCTCCACAGTCTGGGACCCCAGAATTCAGATGAACTAAATCTACTTTGTGGTCAGCTCCGCACCCAGGAGGCTGCACGGAAGAGTGCCTGCTCAGGCTGAGGGTGGTGGGGGCCCACAGGTCTCCTGAGGTTTCAGCACTGCTGGGTCCCTCCTCCCGCCCGGGCAGGTTTGTAGCCCTTATTCACACTATGTGGATGCTCCAGATCCCGCAGAGGATTTGCCTTAAAGCATCTCTTCACACCTAGCAGAAACAAAAGTACACTTTAATCTGGAAGAACGGAGCTTTGATGTGTGTATCAAAGAGTCACACAGATCAAAATCCAAGGCAGGAGCAACACAATAGCAAACAACAAAAACCATGCCAGCCTGTGCTAGAGACACATGGGCTGACAGACCCCCCCACACACACACAGTAGGTGAGGTTGGGAATTGCAGTGGTCAACCTCAAAGACAGTTGCTGATATCCAAGCACCTAGTATGTGTTCAGAGTGTCCCAGATGCTCTTTCACAGACCCCTGAAGAGCCCTGGGTAAGAACAGGCTCTGCCTTCTCTGCAGCACAACATGGACTTGGTAACTCAGCTTAAGGACCAGGAAGTTATCCTGAACATAAAGTGCTGATGCATACACAAGGCATGGTAAAGGAAGGCCACCCTGTCCTAAGGACAATACCCAGGAGCTGACAGTCAGTGGGTAGAGTGGGGCTGATACTCTAAGAGCATGTCTGGGTTCATGCCTTAGGATTTCTATTGTTGTGACTAAACACCGTGACCAACCAACCAAGTTGGGGGGGAAGGGTTTACTCTGCGTACACTTCCATATTGCTGCTCATCATCAAAGGAAGTAAGGACAAGAACTCACACAAGGCAGGGACCTGGAGACAAAAGCTGCTGCAGAGCCCGTGGAGGGCTGCTGCCTATTGGCTTGCTCTCCATGGCTTGCTCAGTCTGATTTCTTATAGAACCCAAGACCACCAGTCCAGAGATGGCAGCACCCACAATGGACTGGGCCCTCTCCCATTGATCACTAATTAAGAAAATGCCTACAGCCCAGTCTTATGGAGGCATTTTCTCAGTTGAGCACCCCTCCTCTCTGATGACTTTAGCTTGTGTCAAGGTGGCATTAAACAAACCAGCACAACTCTATTTCAAGACAAGATACCATCTTGGAAACCACCTGGCGCTGCATCAGCAGGAACTTGTGCAAACGGCTATGGACTTGACATTGAAACAAACCAAGGGTCTTGGCTTCAGTGTTCACTGATACAGCATGGGCAAGAAATACATGCACCAGTGAGTCAACTTGCTGTTCTGGTGATGTGGGGTCCAGGTGGGTGCATGCATTGACCAAAGCTGGCAGGAACTATGAAGAGATACCATGACCATGGCAGCTCTTATAAAGGAAAACATTTAATTGGGGCTGGCTTACAGTTTCAAAGATTTAGTCCATTATCATCATGGCTAGAAGCATGGCAACATGCAGGCGGACCATGGTGCTGGAGAAGGAGCTGTGAATTCTACATGTGGATTTGCAGGCAGTGGGAAGAGAGAGTGACACTGAGCATAGCTTGAACTTCTGAAACCTCAAAACCCACCTCCTACAGCAGTGACACACTTCTTCCAACAAGGCCATACCTCCTGATAGTGCCAATCCCTATGAGCCTATGGGGGCTATTTTTATTCAGACACCGCAGTGTTTTTTCTCAGTTTTAAGTTAAATATAATATGCATGCAGTTTATGGTTTTATTCTTCACATGCAGAGGTGGGGGTATAAAGGCTGCTATTCTGCCTTCTTCCGGATAAATATCCTGGATATGTGCATTTGTACATTTGTAAAAGGATCACGGGGGGGGCAGCAATTTTTAAAAGCTGTATTTTTGGGGGGGAGGATTGGATTTGGTTTTGGTTTTTGAAGACAGAGATTCATTTTGTAACCCTGGCTGTCCTGGAACTCACTCTGTAGACCAGGCTGATCACCTGCCTCTGCCTCCCAAGTGCTGGGATTAAAGGTGTGAGCCACCACTGCCCTGCTAAAAGTTCTTAAAGTTCTTTAAATTGACTTAATATCACCAGAAGTTAAATGAGATTTTGTTTACAAAATAAAACTGAGATGGCCTCTTGCTTGTGACCCAGCAAATACTTGCTGGAGGCCGGATGTCTTGGCTGATTGTAGAAGCCACACACGCGCTGGTGAAGATTTTGAGACCTTTCCAAACCTGTCAGCCAGATGAACTGCTTTTCCTCTCAGGACACTGGGAGCAGTCATACCCTCCCAAGCTGTTCCAGTATGTCTGGGGAACCTTCTGGGTAGATCAACACTAGCCTTCTAGAAGTGGGAATGTGAAAAGAAGCTGGCCCTGTCCAGGCCTGGGTTAGGAAGGGACCACGTTTCTCAGAGTGTACATTCTGCTGGGGAGGGGAGCTATCTGTACCGCAGCTGGGGTGAGAACTGAGCACTGGCCCTGAGATGTAGCTGAAAGAGCTCACAGACCTACCAAGGACCTGTGTGTGACAAAAGCTCACAGCCAAGGTCTGAGGCCCTCAGAGGTCCAGGAAAGATGGGTGGCCTCAAAGATGCAAGTTGAAGGGGAGACACTGTGTGATGCATGGTCCTCAGAGAAGGGGGCAAATGGTGCAGTCTCTGGTGTTAGGTGGGGCAGAGCCAACCCCACCCAGAACCAGGCCGGAGCCACACCCACAGCCACCATACTGACTTTATTTATTTGTATTGTATGTGTATGGGTATTTTTCCTGCATGTATATCTGTGCACCCTGTGTGTGCCTTGTGCCTGTGGAACTGGAGATAGGCATGTGTGAGCTGCCATGTGGGTACGGGGAACCAAACCCAGGTCATCTTAAGAGAAGTCAATGCTCCTAACCACTGAGCCATCTTTCCATCCATCATTAATTTGTTTTTTAAGTAGCTAACAAAGTATTGCATATCCTTCTGGCATATCCAAAGACGTGTTCTTTAGTGATTCTCCTCTCTCTCTCCCCTACTCTCTTTTCCTCTTTGTGTCCCATGGGCCTTTTGCTGACCCCAAATCTTTCCTCATCACCCGTTTGTCCCCTCTCATGCTGTCCTTTAGTTTCATGACTTATGCCCCCATCTAAATATTAAACACTGGAATTCACATATGAGAGAAAATGTGGTATTCATTTTCCTGAGTCTAGGTTATTTCACTCAATAATATCCAGAACTATCCATTTTCTTGAAATTTTCATTTTTCTTTATAAATAAATAAAATCCTATTGTGTATATATACCACATTTTTATTACAATAGCCTTCTGGCTATTGTAAATAGAGCAGCAATAAACAGGGATGAGGAAATATCTCTGTGGTGGTGTATGGAGCCCTTTGGTACATATCCAAAACTGACATAGGTGCTCTTTTAAAAGGTTTTATTTTTAATTATATGTGTAAGTGTGTGTGGCAGGGGGTGGGGTGGGTATGTAAATGTTGGTGCAGGTGGGAGCATCAAATGCCCTGGAGCGGGAGTTATAGGAGGCTGTAAGTCACATGACATGGATGCTGGGAACCAAATATGGGTCCTATGTGAGAGCAATGTGTGTTCTTAACTGCTGAGACATCTCTCTAGCCCCTACTTTTAGTTTTTAAGGAAACGTCCATAGTGAGTCCCATATAAGTGCACTAGTTGGCACTCCCACCAGCAGCAAACCCTTGTCAAGTTTTGCGACAGCCATTTTGACTGGGGTGAGGTGGTATCTCAGAGTAGTTTTAATTTGCACTTCCCTAATGACCAGAGATGTTGAACACATGTCAAAATGCTTATGGGTCATTTGTGTTTCTTCTTTTGAGAACTGTCTGTCCTTCCCATTAGCCAATAGGGTACACATTTCAACACATGGTATTATATGACTTCTTTGAGAAATTTTTGCAGAGCCATCTTAAAACCAAATATAAAACCATATTAATTTTGCAAAGGCAAGGCACTTTAGAATGGAAACCTTGCTAGGAGGAAAGCAAACATGGAGACTAAGAAACTTCTCATGAACTTGAGCTTACCCCATCTGCAATCCTCTCTGTTGAGGCTGAGCCAGAGGAAGCTCAGCCTTCTTGGAAGTCAACCCCAAGAAATCCTTCCCTTAGGAAGCCTGCCATGTCCCACTACTCCCCAAGGCCCAGGTTGCAATTGCAGCTCACAGGCAGGCCTGTGTCTGTGTCCAGCCTTCCCTGATGCCGCTGCCTGGGAATACTTGTTCTGGCTCCCCCAAGCCTCATTAAAGTTTGCCTGTGTGACTGAATGAACATTAACCAAGAATTTCTTAGTAAAATAATGGAAGGCTTCAGGGTTTACGCCCCTGATGTCACCCAAACCAACAACAACAAAAACCTCTTCCAAATCAAAATTTTAAGAATCTTTGCACGCGTAGTCAATAAACTCAAGGTTATCATCATTTTTTTAAAAAGCAGATATGGTTTTAAACCATGTGGGGTAAGGCAGAAGAGCCAACTATGCTCTTGAGGGGTTTGTGCATCCAAACAAGCAAAGATCCATATGATAATATGGGTGGATTTCTATTTCATCTGGAAAAGCAATTGAGATAGCAGAACAGAGTAATGTTAGCAGAGTGTTGCATCCAAACAAGCAAAGACCCATATGATGATATGGGTGGATTTCTATTTCATCTGGAAAAGCAATTGAGACAGCAGAGCACAGTAATGTTAGCAGAGTGTTGCCTGCCATCTGCGTGGTCTTTGGTCTTTTTTTCCCATTATTCAGTAGACATCCCTGTAGTGATGTTTCATGGGAAACTCAGGGCGAGAGCTGACTCATCAGCAGGAGACAGACCTTAAGATCTGCTTCTGGCTGGGGAGGTGACTTGGTCAGTGAAATGTTCATTGCACAGGCAGGAGGCTTTGTTTGACTTCCAAAACTCATGTAAAAAAAAAAAACAGACACAAGTTGTGCTCATTTGTAACCCCAGGACTGGGGAGGCAGAGGTGGATGAATCCCTGGGGCTTGCTGGCCAGCCAGCCTAGCTTACTTGGAACATTCTAGGCTAATGAGAGACCTAGACAGTGTTCCTGAGAATGACCCCAAGTTTGACACCTGAGACTGTCCTCCGGACTCCAAACACACATGCTCATATGTATACCTGCATCTGTAGATCATACATGCTGTCATATGAACACATATGTGTGCATGCGTGTCATATAATCTGTCTCTGTGTGTGTGTCTCTGTCTCTCTCTGTATCTGTCTCTGCCCGTCTGTCTGACTGTCTGACTATCTGTTTGTCTTTCTCTCTCTCTAGGACCCAAGGCTTCTACAGCAGCCACTAGCAGCAACGCTGGTGCACACATACCCGTGGGGTTTCTGACTGTGTCCTTCGAGCCACCATGAGTAACAGCTGCTGTTGAAGGGCACTGATGGCAGGGTCCCCAGACGATGGATCTGGACTTTCCGAAGTGGTGGTACTGGAGGAGCTGAGAAGAATCTCTCTGAGAATGGGGAGAAACAATCCTTCGGTGACTATCTTGCATTAGGATACATTTGTTTATTACCCAGAAACCCAAGGAGGTTGGAGATGTCTAGCACAAGAAGGGACCGTCAGGGTCCTGACCCTTAAGTTCTCTATAAAGGGTGAAAACTCCTGCTTGTGAGGCTGACTCCAGGCACAAAGCCTCTAGTCCTAGGCCTGGACACAGTCGGGCAGGTGAGTGGATACTCGGTGCTCAGAGGCAAAAACTCTGATTTCCTGTGTATTTACAGAACAGAGGTGACCACTACAGGTAGACTTGGGAATTCCCAGACCCCCGCTTCGAAGAAGCAGCAATGAGAACCTCTGAGCCAAGGTAACCCTTCTTCCTGAGTTGCTTCTTCAGGACATCTGATCACATATTGGAAAAGGGAACCATGACATAATGCTAGCTCTCCAACCCCAACACTCTGCCCACATCATTCCTGTAGACACCCCAAAGCAAGAAAGCCGGAAGGTCCTTGGGAAAGTGGCCTTTGTTAAATGGCTTTAAGTCTCTATCTAAATACTTTTGGTATCTTAAATCATATATGGGTTGATGAGACTTAATCCAGCTCTTTGAATCACAATCCTATATAATTTTTAAATTTATATATATGTGTGTATTTATATATGTGTATTTAAATTCACACACATACATACATACATACATACATACATACATACATACATACGTGTACCTGCTTATATGTACATGCACCCTGGGTGTGTGCAGTGCAGGGTGTCAGATCTCCTGGAGCTATCGGCAGTTGTGGGTGCCAGTAACTATACTCAGATCCTTAGCAAGAACAGTAAGTGTTCTCAGCAGCTGAGCTGTCTCTTCAGGCCTCAGCCCTTGCTTTAGTTCAGAAAGCAGAAACTAAGACATACTCCATGTGGCTTCCCAGCCAGGGGCCTATATTTTAGGAGACAATATTGGTCTGTGTATCTATCCCATGTTTGTTTCTAAGGAAATTCCTATCAGTGGGGCCCTATTTTATCCAAATAGCTGAGATTGTATGCTAATGGGGGGTGCAGGAGTGACAGTGATGTAAGACTCCATCCTTCCCTGGCCCCAGTGATAAAACTGGTCTCATCATTCATTCATCTAGCTAGCATGTAGCTTGGGACTGGGAAAATAACACAGTTCTGAAGATTCACCTAGGGATAGGGAAGTTTATGGACATGTGCTTGCTCTCAAACTTTTTTATGTGCCTGTGCATTCGTGGGGAAGCAGAGGTGAGTCATGGGTGTTATTCCTTGGGTGACATCCACCTTAATTATTTTATTAGTGGAGGGATTGCATATTTGCCTTGTATATTTTTGAGAGTCTCAGGGAGTGAATTCAGGTCACCAGTTGCATGACAAGCACCTTAAGCCATCTTGCTGGTCTCCTTTCCATCTTATTTTCTGAGGCAAGGTACCTTACTTTTGACCTGATATTTGTCCACCCATCTAGGCTAGCTGGCCAGCAAGCCCCATGGTTCACCTGACTCCTCTTCCCCAGAACTGTCACGGTGCCCAGCTTCCCCACATGAATGGGGGAGGGGAGATTCAGACTGCATGGCTAGAACTGCATAGACAAGCCACCACCCAAGACAAAACATCTTACTTTCCAAGATGTGTTTCATTCTGTTTAATCCATTTTGAATGGATTCTTCAGTAGCCTGCAGCCCACACTGTGCTAACAGAAGGATGCAGGTGTGTCAGTGATGTGATCTGACCTCTAACCTCTACTATTCACCACACTCTATGACCTTTCTCTACTTCTCTCTTGACTTCTGTGTGTTCACAAACACACTCACTTGTTACACACACACACACACACACACACACACACACACACACACACACACAAATCTTCTATACTTGTATGATACAATTTGTGATTGCAAGGATGATTCAATGAAGCCTTCCTTACTGAGAACCATGTCAAGTGCACACCAGGAAAGTCAACATCACAGAACCTGAAACTCTAAACCCCAGTGTATTATGGTCTGGAAAGGAAACTCTAGCCATCTGCAAGAGAGTATGTGCTCTAAACAGCTGATCCATCTGTTAAACAGTCTGAATAGAAAATGGTCCCCCAAAGACTCTTGTGTTTGAACACTCAGTCTCCAGCTGGTGGCGCTGTTGCAGGAGGTTGTGAAACCTTTGGGGGGGGGCCTTGCTGGAAGGAAGTAGGTCACTGAGGGTGGAATTTGAAGGTGATAGCCAAGTCTTATTTCCAGGCCAGTCTGTTTCCCGACGCATAGGAGTGTGAGGACAACCTCTGCACTGTCTTCCTAAGCAGGATGGCCAGCTTTCCCTCCCCCCCCGTTCCACGAGCTGGAATTGATCCTCTGTCAACTCACAGCTATCAGGTGCTTGGCCACAACAGTGAGACCTGCTCACTAACACACTGTCCCTGCATTATTTGGAGTGACTGCTCCCCGTGTGCACTCCCATTCCTGCTGGTCAGCTCATCACACCTGCCACTAATGGACCGATTCATTAGGTTGATCAAGACAGTGTTTCACCATGGGTTGTTTGTTAGCACACCACTGAGTGAGTGACGCGGTCTGGAAGTCTGTAGTGAGGTAAAATTGAAAGGGAAGGTCCTTGATAGGATAGGGTCAGAGACTCTGAAATTTGGTGTGGGAGAGCTACGCTGGAGCCAAGAAACTAACTAGACTACATTGCAGGTGAGGGAGGTCATACTGACACAGGGGCAGGAGATGGGAGAGAGCCGAACCCCTGTGTGGGGAGTCAGAGACATACAGACCCTCCCCTGCTGACTATTACATGATGTATCAGAAACAGCTCTGCTAGAAATGACTGCCAATGCTTCCTGGCAAGAAGCAGGACTCTAATGAGGGGCCACTCATGGACTTGATCCCCCATATTATTAAACATGATTTAGTTGCAAAATAATATGCCATAACACTGGGTTGGGGCTGGACTCGGTTAGTAGAGTACTTGCCTGGCATGCACAAAGCCCCGGGTTCAGTTCTCATTGTTTCACAAGCAGACGGGGCTGGCACACACGTGTAATCCCAGCACTAAGAAGGTGGACTCAGGAGGTTCAGCAGTTCCAGGTTACCCTAGACTACATAGTGCGTTCAAGGCTGGCCTGGGATAGGTGAGAGCCTGCCTCAATAATGGCCAGAGAGATAGCTCAGTAAGTAAAGATGCTGGTTTTGATCCCCAGTAGAAAAACTACCTCCACTCCCAATTGTCCTCTGATCTCTGAACACTCCCCCAAAATAAACTAATCAAAAATTTCTTAAAATTAAAATAAATAAGTAGCTTTTGTGGGCAGATAGTTTAAATATCTTATTTTATAATCTAAGGGTTGGTTTTATTTGTTCACTGTTTTACTTTATTGATACAGGATCTCACTGGGTAACCCTAGCTGGCCTGGAACTCACTGTATAGCTGGCCTCAAACTCACAGAGACTCTCCTGCCTCTGCCTCCTGAGTACAGGGATTAAAGCAGCTTACCACCAGGCCTGGCCTTGGTTTTTTTCTTCAAACCTTTGAGTGAGTTCTAGAATCAACAGAAGTGGGTCTCAGCCACTGCTGTTCTGTTGACTACTACTTTGAGCACACTGTTTTCCTACCTCGGATCTACACTTGTAAGAGAGAGGTGTTTCCCTCCTGGAGAGTGTGAGAATTTTACAATAGACTAGACAGAATGTCCCGATGAAGCCTCTCTGTCGGGCACTTTGTGAGACACTCTGGTCTCTGTTGCCTCCTATTGATGGGGAACTTGACAGGTAACAAAATGGCTGCTCATTAATACAGTAGAGAGCATTACACTCCAGGACTGGTCGTTAGGGGATGTCCAGAGACAATCCCACTTCCAGAAACATCTGCGGGTAGGGAGAGCTCACACTGTGGAATGGCTGTCTCAAGGACACCACCAGGTCTCCATTGGCCTGAGGCTGAGTTGGTCTCTGGTCAGCTAGCTCCATTGAGGATGAAAGCAAAGGAGAGAGCTCAGCGAAGCCTCAGGGAAGGAGGCTGGGGGTGGGAGTGGGGTGAAAAGAAGAGCCAGCCTGGAAGGGAATCAAGAAGATGGAGAATAAGCTGGCCCCCAGCAGCTCCAACATGGAATTCCAGCACTTGAGTGACTGAGGCAGGAGGATAGCTGGGAGTCTGAGGCCAGTCTGGGCTACACGGTGAGGTAAGACCCTGTTTCAAACAAACAACTACAGCTAGAGTCTCTGCTGGCTTGGCTGGGACAGGGCGGGTCTGGGGTGAATAGTGGTTGGTGCTGGGTGCTAGATTCGCTGTACTCGGCTGGCCCAGGGTAATGTTGCTTCCCAGTGACAGATAAAGCTGAAATTCTTCGTCCTCACCAGATTTTAAAACAACAGTTTACTGTCCCCTGGAGAATGCACCTCTTCTGCCTGCCCTTCCCGGGGCTCCACTGTGGGATGGACCAATGGTGGGATATAAGAGGGATGCCTTAGGAAAGAAGTTAGTTCAACACATTCCCTGGCTGAGAAGGACACTGAAGGGCAGCAGATTGGGCGGGGCGGGGTGGGGGAGGCGGTGTTCCTAACAGAGAGCTCTCCTTTCTTAAGAGCACACAAATGAGAGGAAGTCTCAGAGAGGCAGCCAAGAGAAAGCAAGTGGATGGAGTGTGCCCCCGTGTGGCAGCTGGGGCTCAGTGCAGGCATAAGGCCTCAGTTCCTGGGACTCTAGGCTGGGGGAGAAACACTGCCTCTTAGCCTTGTGTCAGGGTCCCCAGGATGAGGGTCATTGTGGGAGGAACAGAGATGAACATAGACTGAGAAATCAGCGAGGGCGGGGAAGAAACCACAGGAAGGCTCACTGCAGCCCATCACCTGGCCCTCAATGTGATCAAAGGCAGCACGAATCCCCAAGTCTTTTCTTAACGCTGGCGCAGCAAACACACATCGCTCATTCAAATTAACAGTGGTACAGCTTCGTGCCTGAGGTTAAGTATCCCCAGCCAGAGGTGAAAAGCGCTGT